TATTTTTCTCTACGAGAGGGATTATTTCTGCTTCATTGCTCTATCCATAGGGCCTAGCATGGTGTCTGGCTTTTGCATGGTACTCAATAAATGTTGACCAAACAGTGGAACAGAGGAAGGAATATGAAGCAAATTTCTTAACCTCTCAGAGTCTTAGTTTTATTATCTTTGAAATGAAAGCAAGTTAAAAAAATTTTTTTTTCAACGTTTATTTATTTTTGGGACAGAGAGAGACAGAGAATGAATGGGGGAGGGGCAGAGAGAGAGGGAGACACAGAATCGGAAACAGGCTCCAGGCTCTGAGCCATCAGCCCAGAGCCTGACGCGGGGCTCGAACTCCCGGACCGCGAGATCGTGACCTGGCTGAAGTCGGACGCTTAACCGACTGCGCCACCCAGGCGCCCCGAAATGAAAGCAAGTTAAGCACCTGGCAAGGTTAAATGATGGATAATGAATGTAAAACAAATGTCACCATCATTGACTGAGTTACCCAAGCCAAAAATAGGGAATCACACAAATTTTCCATTTCTCCCACTCCCTCTTCCTCTACCTGGAACTAACCAGTCACCATGGCTTGTTGAACCTGGCTAAAGACCTTGGTAAGAAACTCTAGCTTACAGGGGAATTTCCACTAGGCCAGAGCTGTCAGGAAGCATGAGAGGCAAAAGGTGCTGGCAGTAGGGATCCTGTAAGGAAAAGAAGTAGGAGGAGAGACTCATGGGGACATAGGCCGCAGGAAAAGCAGAGAAAGGATCGAGGAGATGGGAGACATCAGGCTTTGTCCTGGGGACATAGAAACCACTTAAGTCTGTGCCCTCAAGAGTTCCTGGTCTGCTTGGGAAACAACTAGAAACACAATTTGTACAGAACTAGGTTGTAGTAGATGTGAGAAGGGAGATGATTATTATTTTCAGAAATACCAAACAAAAGCCGTGCTGTCTAGCAATAGGTTTACAACCTATTGGAAATATGTACAAACTGCCTCCTGCCCCCGCCTCACCCCAAACACACACAATGGAGTCCCAAAGCCTTAGATACTTCATTTCCTCATTCTTCTTCCCCTCTCTGTTTTGCAGGCTTATTTTCCTGGGCTTTGCAATGAGCATGCGCCAAAGAACAAAGGGAGGAGAGACTGAAAGTCTCTGCATCACCTTAGGGAATGTACATTTGTTCCAGATTACCTTTTGCCTTACATGGGCATAGGTAATGCCCGGGTAAGACTATAACCTCTGTAGTACTTAGCCAGTGAGGAACCAGGGGAGGGACTTGTGTGCTAGGAAACAAATTGTCTGCGGTAAATGCCCAGAGCGTGCCTGTTTGTCAGACACCCACTTGCAAGAACATTGATTAAAACCTCATTTCACCGGGAACCCTCTTGCACTGTTGGTGGGAATGCAAATTGGTGCAGCCACTCTGGAAAGCAGTGTGGAGGTTCCTCAGAAAATTAAAAATAGACCTACCCTATGACCCAGCAATAGCACTGCTAGGAATTTACCCAAGGGATACAGGAGTACTGATGCATAGGGG